AAAACTGCATTTTTCTCCCACCAACTGACAGTAGTATTCCCCCCCCCCAATGTATTACCGGTAAATTAAACCACTAGCAATACATAGTTGTCACTGTTGCTGTGGTTATTAGTGACCACATGGTGGAGACAAAAGCCTTCTCAAATAGCTATACATGGATCCTTTGTTAAACCAACTATTTGTTAAAAAACAGGAAAGTATGATTTGTAAATCCATTTATTTTTAAAGAGTGCTTAGGTTTTTTCAGGATTTACTCGTCAATATACAGTATAATTTATATGCTGCAGCTGTATGTAATGTTTATATGTGTGTTTATATAAGACATAAAACAAGTTAGAATTATAACTATTGTGTATAGAGATTTTATTAGAAAAATCTTATGAAGGTGTGAAGTAACAAAGTAGAAATAAGTCTTTACCTTACTTAAGTATAGATTTTGGCTATCTATACCTTACTGAAGTAATTATTTTTTACACAACTTTTTACTTCTACTCCTTACATTTACTTGCAATTGTCTCTACTTTCTTCTTTGATTTTTAAAATAGACCATTTGTTTTGTTTTATTTAGTGTCATTTTCTTTATGGCCGTTGGTATTAAAAAAATAAAAACCATCAATATATTTCACCCAGACCATTAATTTCTTTGTGGTTGGACTCGGTCAATGGCATAACGACAAATCAATAGGCCCATAAGCATCTGGGTTGGTCCCATTTGAAGTACAACATGTGAACACGATTCAGGATATGGCGACAGTTCCATAAATCGGCCAAGAAGATACGCAATTCTCAGTAGTATATGTTCACACATGGAAAAATAGTGACTGCGCACCTTGAATAGAACCATTGGTGACAACGCACCATATGTTACAGACATCCCAAATGCTTATCGAACCCTACGCTCTCTCCATTCATCTCCTGGTTGCAACCTTTACTCACTGTAGCACCAACGTCCACCTCTCCCTCTCCAATTCTTTGAAAGAACGTGTTTATTTTGGGAAGTTTTTTCCGTTCTTCCAGCAGCTCTACTTTCCTTTTTTTTTTCTGGAATCTGCTTAAGTACCTCTTTTTGGTATCCATCCTCACTAACACATTGTATGTAACGGTTATGGTTTTAATCTAAGCTCTGGGTTACCCATAATTCCAAGTTGTAGTGTAAAAAAAAAAAATTCTCAAATACATCGTTCTTTAAAGATCTTTATTGCGGTTTGAAACATATTATATGAGTGTATTTTTTAGCAACTGTCTAATTAACTATATAGTTATTAACATAGTAATTAAAAGTACCACTGTCTGCTTTGCTGTGGGTGTCATGTTTAAACGGATCACCAGCATGTTGAAATCTAGCATGTGTTGTGGTATAAATATGGTCTGGTGCAGTCAGTTACTTCAGTATCAGGTGGGTTTAAGAGGAATTTTTTGCATCACTACATCTGCAAAGGGACATCCTACGTAGTCTACAATTGTGTAGGGGGCCTATCAGGTGTCAGTGATGGGGCCCCTAAGAGGTTGTGGGCCCGTAAGCAATTGTTGTTTCTGCTTACTGATATTCATGCCATTGGACTGAACCAACTTGTTGTTCGCCACATACCAAATAAATATTTTGGTATATATTTAATTTCAAGATGGTATAAAGTAAATTTGACATCGTTATTAGTTATAAAATTAAGAAACTTAGAAATAAGGATTTTCTCATCCAGAAACTTATAAAAATATTGCTTTAATAGGGTAGTGCAGTAATGAGCATAAGGTTTAAAGCATCTGTCCTTAACATTTTCTCCTGCATTAGTTTTACTTTTCATCAAAATCACGTTTCAACCAGATATCTTAAGCATTTGAAACCAAAGGTGAATGTTTTAAAAGTTACCTTGGTGCAGACAGATGGCTTGAAAGAAAAGAATGCTAGCTCTTAGCATGGAGGAGCTGTGATTAATTGCTGTGCAGGTGTGGTGCATTCTCAGTCTATGGGGAGATTCTGTACTGAACAAAAAATGTGAATTTTTTCAAGAAACTTTGAATAAAAAAAAAAAATACTGACAGAAAGGCCTTGCCTGGGTATTACAAACATGGCTACGCTTGGGGACTCACCTGTTGATACCGCAATTGACTCTGTTTTAGCCAAGATAGCCACAATTTCTTGTTTAAATAGGAGCAAAGATAAGCACTTTTGCATTTGTAGATGGAAAAGATGTCTGTACTTTTCTTCCAACACGATTTCTTGTAAAAAAAAAAAAAAAAAAAAAAACACACAAGAACCTTCAGACGATTCGCTGCTACAATTGGCTTGAGGCATACTGTATTATGGAAGGCGGGTACTAGCAGGAACGTTAAGGGCCTGGCTGACTCTTTGGGTCCTGTTTCTGTCACTAAGGGTCTGGCTGCATCTTTGTCGCCGCCCTCCCTCCGCCAGCCAACTTACAGAGACTGTGCTTTAGTCTATAAATCACTGAATGGATCAGTACCAAAATACATAACAGATTTGTCATCAGTGTAAAAACCTCCCAAACCACTCAGGTCTTCTAGATCAAGCCTTCTCTCTACAACCAGAACTAGGACCAAACATTAAGAAGCAGCATTTAGTTCCTATGCTCCATTTATCCAAAAGTACTAAAAGCCTGAGTTCTTTTAGGTCAAAGTTAAAAACCCTTCTGTTTAGAACTTCTTTTGACTGTTGAAGTTTAACTGTTAACTGAGGTATTGTTATCCTAAGGTTGTGGTCAAACTGTTTTCGTTTTACTATTCGTTTCTACCTGTTTCTATCATGCTTTTACATCTTCTGCTTTTATTCTGCGTCTATTTTTGACATATTTTATTTTTTAATTTGTGTACAGCACTTAAACTTGCCTTGCCTAGACACAGATCCATGTTAGAATTTTTATTTTTTATTTTTATAACTCCTTAAGTATTAAGGCCTACAATTTCAAGGCCTTAGTAAAAACTGCATGCGAGGGGGAGTTTGGTGAAAGAGGAACATTGGGAAGCGGCCTTAAAATGAATGCACAGATCTTTAATTTATGCCTGACATGTCCTGACCAAGTGTAAAATATCTTATAAAGTACATTTTACAAATGCAAACAAGCCAAAAATGTACCCAACCGTTAGTGACACTTGTAATGGGTGTGGACACTCTTCAGCCAAACATACGGTACCCACATGCTTTGGGCTTGCCCTAAATTGAGTGGGTCTGGTAGTGACATGGTCACAAAACTCAGTCAAGCATATGCTCAAACAATTCTCCCCAATTCACTATAAGCCATATATGGCATCTCTTATGACCCAAGCATGTCACATTCCTTCTAATAATCCTTGGGTAAGAGAGGTTCTTTATAAAATACAGCCATCTTTATGGCTGTATAAATATGAATATCAGTTGTGTAGTGCGTTACAAATTAAATGACTGACTAACACACCAAATGGAACAGTCTACAAAACATGCAGAAAAGAAGCTAACTAACATTAGCTTAGAGGAGCCTTCTTAGGCCGGCCACCTACCGAATTCCATAGAACACATGACAGTTTGAGCTCAAATCTAAACATGTCACATAAGCAGAAACTTAAAGTAGGAACAATTTAAATCCCAGCGGGTATGAGAAGCCAAAGGGACCCAAAAAGTCATTACATTAAAATGTGGCAACAACTGAAGAGAGTTGGGAGTATTTGATCAGTTTTTACATATGATAACATTTAAAACCCTTCTAATGCGCACCATAACTAAACATTTGTGCACAAATAAAAACAGGAAACACACATAGACAGAATGGAAAAACTAGTGGTTTTAACAGGTCTGAGAATAGCTTTTCCTGTCTGTAGTCAGACTTCCTTTATCAAAGATAGGTTTCCATAATTTACAATAAGTCTGGCAGCAAAGCGTATGACGCTGGTAATGTTGAAGGAAACACACATTATAAGTAGTTTGTTGTTCAGGTTTTTTTTCTTATCTTTTTGTTTTCTTATAATAAATCGTAAATGTCCTGTATTTATATAGCACTTTTTCAAGTGAGAAGACTCGACCAAAGGACTTTACTATATTTAGTCATTCACCCAAAATACATTGTAGCCACATCTGCCCCGGGGCTCACTGACAGAAGCCACTGCCGTACACTGGTGCCACCAGTCCGTCCGACCACCATCAGTAAGCAATGCAGGTGAAGTGTCATGTCCAAGGACAACGACACTGAATGCCGGATCCGGGGCTTGACAACCCTCCGTTTACAGGGCAAACTCTGACTTCCGACACCACTGTCACCCAGAGTGTGTATGTATAATTGCATAAATGCATATTGAATTTAATTAATGTGTTTAGTGACTTTGAATGTACATTATTCATAATCAAGTTTCTAAAATTTCTATGTGTCTATAAATGGTCTACAAGATATAATTATCTGAATATGTTTCAACTACATGTTTCAGCTTTTAACGTTTGGTTGTTGTCAATAAAAGGATGACTTAGTTTCATCTGCATTTCTGCAATACAGTCATCTATTTATAGGCTCCAAGCTATAACGAACATTTAGTACTTTGTATTCCATAATAGACCATTTCAAACCATTGCATTTACTCTGCCATGACCAGAACTGTCTAATCTGAAACCATCCAAAGTCCTTTCTAATCAAGGTTAAAACCCCTTTTATTTAGAACTGCCTTTCAGGTTCGGTTAAAACTATTTACCAAAACAATATTGATTTTAATCTGTGGTTCAACTTTCCTTTACCTGCCAGTATAATGGCACTACAATAACTTTTCAATATATTTTTTCATGTTTTATTTTAGAAAAGCACTTTGAATTTTATTGGTACTAAAATGTGCTATACAAAGAATGTACCTTGCCTAAGTAGTTCTGAATCACAAAAGTTACACGGATGCACAATATTCTAACATCAAATTTTTACTTTAGCTACCAATCATGTTCTTGCATATGGATAAAATGTTAAAAAGAAAGCCTCCTAGTCGTCATTCATTAAATTGTTTTTTAGTTCCGATAAGAGTTTCTGCCACACCTTCCTGCCGAAAGTGGAAAAAGGAACCAGCCTCTGTAGAGACAACAATCTTCTATTTTGAGTAAGTGCCAGAAATTTTATTTTAAATTTGATCATTTATTCTTTTTAATCACAATTCTATGAAAGTACTCACAAAAAATGCTTTTTGAAAAGATTTTGAAAAATGGCAGTGAAACTCAGTTAAATAAAAGATACTTTTATAATTCTATCATTCTAAATCAAAACAGAATCGAAGATGGCCATTTTTTAATTTCTTTGGATATTATAGTTCCTAAGTTTTGTTTCTGAGGCAGTGTTTTACGGATAATTATGCAATTGATATATATTCCCCATTATTTGTCAAGATCTTTCTCATATAGATCTCTTAAAAGGAAGTGTGACAATTTTTAAATGCAATTGTGTTCATAGTGTCAGTCATATTTATAACCTGTTTATCTTATCCATAGTATGACTTTGATGGTGGTAATTGCCAACTTTTACCTTTTCCCTTTTTTGAATGTAATATACATATTCTCAGTAGCAATAAAGCAACATTTAAGTTTGAATAGCATCATGTTAATTAATCTTTATTGTCATTCTCTACAATTATCAGTTGTTTTCATTTTAAGGAAAGAAAATCAATGAACACTTAAATTAAAAGTCAAAAGTACAAATTGAATTACGCTTTTTTTTTAGAACTCTTAACATTTAGCTACGGTCTAGTTGCAGTCTAGCTGTGATAGGCAGTATGAGATCTATAGTCAGCTAAGTATTTGCAGAAAGGTTCAGCCATTGAGGAGTTATACAGGGGAGCAGAAATATCATGAGACTTGGGTGCATTTGACACACTGGTGTAGAAATGTTGCCATATATTATGTAGGCATGGAAAGTTATAAATGTAAAACAGGCATGCATCAAACAAACAACGGGAAACAAATGCATGCCTAGTATAAAAGGTGATATATATACCCACACACACACACACAGACACACACCCACACACACCAGTGGCATTAGAAGCATTTGGAACGTGGGTGGGAGACTTAGGTGTGGTTTACCAGCCACATGCAGCCTTTCTCTTTGCATAAGTCATTCTCAAACCTGGTCCTCAAGCCATACTAGCCTGCATCTTTTAGATGCATGACCTCCTTAGCAGACTTCATGTGTTGCAGAAGCCTGTTAATTATTTATTTGTATAATTCAGGCATATGGCAGCTAGGAAAAATCAAAAATATGCAGTTTAGTTGTAAATGAGGACCAGGATTTAGAACCACTGCTCTAAAACATACACTGCTCAAAAAAATTAAAGGAACAGTTTGAAAACACATTAGATCTCATTGGGGAAAAAATCATGCTGTTTATTTATACTGATATGGGCTGGGTGATGTGTTAGGAACAAAAGGATGGACAGTCTGAGGTGCAACCTGGCGGCGTCAGATGGATCGAAACATAATGTCCAAGAGGTGTTTTGGTTTTAGGTCAGGCGAGCGTGGGGGACAATCAGTGGTATCAATTCCTTCATCCTCCAGGAACTGCCTGAGTACTCTCACCACATGAGGCCAAACATTGTCGTGCACCAGGAGGAACCCAGGACCCACTACACCAGCATAGGGTCTGACAATGGGTGCAAGGATTTCACCCTGACACCTAATGGCAGTCAGTGCCGTTGTCTAGCCTCTATAGGTCTGTGTGTCCCTCCATGGATATGCCTTCCCCCGACCATCACTGACCCACCACTAAACCGGTCATGCTGAACAATGTCACAGGCAGCATAATGTTCTCCACGGCTTCTCCAGACCCTTTCACGTCTGTCACATGTGCTCAGGGTGAACCTGCTCTCATCTGTGAAAAGCACAGGTCGTCAGTGGTGGACTTGCCAATTCCGGTGTTCTGTGGCAAATGCCAATTGAGCTCTACGGAGCTGGGCAGTGAGCACAGGATGTCAGGCCACCCTCGTGAAGTCTGTTTCTGATTGTTTGGTCAGAGACATTCGCACCAGTGGCCTGCTGGAGGTCATTTTGTAGGGCTCTGGCAGTGCTCCTTCTGCTTCTCCTTGCACAAAGGAGCAGATACCGGTCCTGCTGATGGGTTGTAGACCTTCTACAGCCCTGTCCAGCTCTCCTGGAGTAACTGCCTGTCTGCTGTAATCTCCTCCATGCTCTTGAGATTGTGCTGGGAGACACAGCAAACCTTCTGGCAATGGCACGTATTGATGTGCCATCCTGGAGTAGGTGGACTGCCTGTGCAGCCTCTGTAGGGTCCAGGTAGCGCCACATGCTAACAGTAGTGACAGTGACTGAAGCCAAATGCAAAACTGGTGAAAAATAGTCAGAAAAGATGAGGAGGGGAAAAAGTGTCAGTGGCCTCCACCTGTAAAACCATTCCTGTTTTGATGGTCATCTCTTTGTTGCCCCTTTAGTGCACCTGTTGTTAATTTCATTAACACAAAAGCAGCTAAAACTGATCAACAACCCCCTCTGCTATTTACCTGACCAAATCAATATCCCAGAAGTTTAATTAACTTGATGCTATACTCTGATTACAAAGTGCTCCCCTTAATTTTTTTGAGTAGTGTATTTCTGTGCATCCACGCTTGTTGACACAGTGTGCAGTGCAGGCTTTTTTTTTTTACTTCCAATAATCCTGTCATGATTTTCTCCTTTCTCTCTCATTTTGCTACATCCTCCCCAGTACTGCTTTTTGTTGTTCTGTTTATTAATAAAAGGTATTGTATTTAAAAGAAAGTAAAATTTTACTGTTATCCAGATCTTTTCTATCTTAAGTGATGACATGTACAATTGTATCCTCTAGATATAATTTATGAAAAACAGTTAACTAAAACCAGTACCCTTAATGTAACATTACTTCAAAGTAGCAGTACTATTACTAATTTCTAGGCGCACGTCATGTAACCCAAAATGTAGGACCCAGTATTCAGGCGACACAGACAGTGGGATGTTTCAAAATGTTTATTATCAAAACACATAACAGAACAGAAGGGGGCTGCTAATGGATATACAGATACGCAGTGGCTGTGGGGGAAGGAGGGGCACAACCTATCACTGGCACTCTGGTTCAGGGAGAAACACAGTTAAGTGACCACGATAATCTGACGGAAGATAATTAGCCGTGCGAGTCACTTACCTGGCTTAACAGTTCAGTCCATATTCTCTTGGGAAGGCGGGATCCAGCTGGTGGACTACCAAATGAGATGCAGCGCGGAGCCGCCCCAGAGTGACCCCCATGCAGCAATCCCAGGGAGCAGTCAGGAAAACAGTTCAGAACAAGTACGGTTCTGAGATGCAGGAGTTCGTAGCCCGACCAGGGGTTCCGATCCAAATAGGAACTGACAGGGTTCCAGGAATCCACAGAGTGCTCAGGCAAGTTCAGAGCTCCATGAGACCAGCAACGAGCTCAGGCAGACATGCTAAGATGGAGACAGGCAGGCTCAGTGGTTGAGAGAAAAAGATAAGACAAGGTTCCAGGAGAACTGCAGAACTTTAAACTGGACTCCTCCACTAAGCCGAAATTGGAAATAGGGCATGCTTCAGTGGATAAGAGCCAGGCCTACTGGACTTTAAAATAGCTCCCCCCTGGCGAGCCAAAACAGGAAACGGCGCAATCAGTGGAGAAGAGCCAGGACACGATCAGCAAACACAAGACAACAAAAAACCTCTCTAACACTGGCCTATATGAATGGGAACAAGAATTCTGGAATAACCAAACTCAAACAAGAGAACTAACATACAAACATACATAGTGATCTGGCCCCGATATCTTGGCTGAACCATATATAAAGCAGAAGGAGCAGGTGGATAAGATGAATGATAATTAGTAGGCTGGGAGGGTACAGCAGGTAAGTGAAGTGAATAACTTGATCAGCTATCAGGGCAGATCCTCACAGCCCAGTCATTTCCCAGCAGTATTAGAAGTAAAAAGTATGGTGCAGTAAAGACACCATACTTCTAGAACATATATATTTAACTTTCTTTAATTTTTTCTAAAATAATCTCACTCACCAAGCAAGCAACCTTGCTTGGTGAGTGAAACACATGCCCGGGTGGCTACTAGCTTATTCCTGGTGGCTTTCCGTGGGGCCTGGCCAGCCGGGGCCCGGCTGGGGCTCCTGCCAGGGGGTGTGGTGCTCCTGGGGCCTCGAATCCCTGGGACCCATGGCCGGATTCACTTCGGGCTTTCTGTAGATGCTAGCTATGGTATTTAAAAAAAGGAAAGAAGACATGCCATTGTGGCAATAGCATCATTTAAAAACTAATCATTGCCATTAAACAGGCAACATAAGGTGCGAATCAGAATAACAGGCAGAGTTGGAAATTTAGCCTTTTTTCCCCAACTCCTTGGGGTAGAACAACATGAAAAAAATCGACAAGTGCTCACACTGTTAGGGCAAAAAAATCACCATAGGCTGATGTTTCTGTATTATTATACCCTTTTTATTATATCCTTGCTTAATCTATAAAGACAGGACACATTTGAATTTATAAAGAAAATAGAGTTGTTTAAAAAATTAGTATGGATCTAAAAGGATCTCAAAGCTACAAGTGTATCTATTTTACATTGTCACTGGACCTATTAGAAGCATTTAATATAGAAATAAATTAATCTGTTAAACTTAGAGGTAATTGGTAATTTTGTTTAAACTATATATTAACAAATCAATCTGCTCCATATTATTTTTATCATAATTTTTTTATTTATTTTTTCTTTTGTTTTGTCCTCACAGACAATGATTTCAATCTACATGACAATGCCTGTCCTGGTTATAGCAACATTGACAACAGGTATATTTAATGCAAATGCATAAAATATTAATACATTTTGGAACAATGTTTTTCTTACCGATATTTATTGTCATTTTGGAATAAAACGATAACAAAAGTCATTTTTTGAAAATATGTTGAAAACCATTTGTTATTGTAATGGTATTTTTTACTGTTATTGTGTTACACTAACAACAAACATAATATTTTTTTGCCGTTACTCTATGTAATTTGCTTGTTTTTTACGTTTCTGTTTTAGGACTTATGAGATGCAATTTATCTCAAAATGATAAAAACCCTCAATGTTATGGAGCCCTTGGAGAACCCCTGTTTTTTTACTTTCCAATTGTTTCAAGGATTGATCTGAAAAAAGCTAATTATGTGATTAAAAAGATTGTAAACAACAATGCAACTTTCAATGCAACATTTCAGTTTAACTCCACAACAAAGAATAACTCTGGAGATTATCATCTTGAACTATATGACAAAGATGGTAAAAATACCAAAACACTCATCATCAATCTGCAGATTTTAGGTACGAACATAAAATAATATTTTTTAAAACATATAAACTTATAAACCAAGAGGTTTAATAGTTCTATTTTGAACTGTGTAATATTTGTAAATCTGAGTTTTTTTTGTCTTTCAGCTTCAGTATCACAACCTGCTTTATTAGCCACATGTTTGTCACCAGAACTAAGGACAATCAACTGCTCAGCAGATGGAGACGACATAGAGTTCTCTTTTTCTTTAGATGACAATATATTAATACAGACTAAAGCTGTCAGAGAAAAGAAGGAAAGTTCCAGCATCAGCTTGAATGGTCAGCTGGCAGGAAACCTACGCTGTAAAGTAGAAAACAAAGTCAGCAGTAAACAGACCGTTATATACCTTACAAGCTGCCAAGGTAATATGTGCAATTCTTACTTTTCATTTTTTCCCTTTTAGTTTTCTTCATAATTTTTTTTTGTTGTTTTCTTTTTAACAGGCTATGCATTGTTGCAAAACAAATGCAATGTTAAATGTGTGATTTGCATAGTCATATAAAAGTCTTTGCAGTAAATAAATGTAATTTGACTTGATGTCTATTTTTTTCTAGGGCCGCATTCAATAACTCTTACTGTTCTTGCAAGCCTGTACTTCCCACTTCTTCTTTTGGTCTTGATTCTCACTGTTAAATTGTGTAAAATAAACCGCCCCACTGATTTTAAAGAAGGTGAGACAATTTCACTAAAAATATCTTCTTACACTAAACAGTACTTTTAATGAGGTTAAGTGTTGTTACCAAGGCAATATAATTTTAAATAACAAGATTTGGTCTCTATGTTTCTATTTCTGTTTTTTTAGATGAGACTGATGATAACATTGTGTACTCTGACATCAGAGTGACTCGGGCTGCCAGAAAGTTGGCTGCTTAGGATGCTGCTGAGCAAAGAGAAGAATAAGACAATCTTTGTAATTGTGAAACAAGGCGCCTTTAATTTCAAGTGTAAACATGACAGCTGTAGATTAAAAGGGATACAAAAATGTAAAATAAAATGCCTGTGTTGAGTTGAATAATTAAGCATCAATGCTGAAACTAATTATGCATTTATAGTACTGAGGATGTTTTAGATATTTAGAAATGCTTTTCTATGTATTTATCTATGTTTTTTGCTGTCCTAAGCATAGATCTTTATGTGACTATTCTTATTTTGACTATAAAACTAAAAAATAACACCTTAATACACCTGACTCAAAAAGTATTTATTTAACAACATATCGACTCACAGCTGGGGAAACATAGTTGTCACTGTTGCTGTGGTTAGTAGTGACCACATGGTGGGAAAAAAAAGCCTCACAAATAGCTTGATGTGGATCCTTTGTTAAACCTATTCATTTGTTAAACAACATGAAAGTATGGTTTGTAATCGTATTTATTTTTAAAGAACGCCTGGGTTTTTTTCCTTTAGGATTTAGCTCTGATCATGAATAGACAGACAATGTAGTTTATATGCAGCAGCTTCATGTAATGTTTATATGTATGTTAATATAAAACATGAAACGAGTAAAAATTGTATCACATTATTTTATGTTTGGAGTATATTTGAAAATATGAAGTGTATACTAAGAGGTATCAAGAGACAAAGTAGAAATACAAAGTATACATTTTGGAGTAATTATTTTTTAGACAATATTTTACTTCTACTTTAAGACATCAATTTTAACATCAATACAAGGAAACATTTACGTTATATTTAAATATACAAAGATAGAAACGAGAACAATGAGAGAGAACTGTTCAAAGATCTATGTACCTTTTCACCTGGCTCTTTATCCAAAAATAAATATAATAAAAATAAACAGAGTGCAATGTAATTTTTTCTTCCGATATAACTTAGGGATTCCTTTTGGTAGAAATTAAAGAATGTTTAGCATCACCTCTTGTGAGCTGGAAGAAATAAAATCTTGATATTAAGGCAAAGTTTTTTTCTTAAACTTAGCAGAGGATGATTAGCCACATATAGTTTATCAAGCAGCGAGAGCAGGAAGAGTCAGACTGCTGGGAGTGAACCATCAGAGTAGAGCACAAATTCTGAGTTTTGCACCCACAAAGACCAATTTCTGGACAAGATGAAAGATCAAAGCAAAGTTTGTCAGAGTTGAGCGTGCAGTACCGGCCCAGTCCGGGTTATTTTCTCAGACCCTACAGCTGCTGCCATGATCCATCTGTTCTCCTGTAGCATGTGCAATGCTGCGCGGCAGGTGAACGGCAGGATCAAACAAGACGCAGCAGCACGGCTGATATTACTTAGCTGATTACAGCAAAATGATGCATTTTGAACATCTTACTGATGACCCACTAATTTTTATTTAGTCTTGTCTGGTCTTGTTGACTAAAGCTCAAGCCTATGATTTATCACGTTTCAGTCTTCAAAGATCCGTGTTTAGCTCGTCAGTTTTCGTTATCGTAATGAAAACTAGGAGTGTCAATTAAATTATTTCGCCATCCTCATCGTGACGAAAACAACACTGCTTGTTACCTAGAAATAACCATTGTCACATGACATTTTAAGTTTAAATCATATAAGACACTTAAGGAGAAATGTAAAAAAAGAAAAATTTTAATCCCACCAGGTATGGAAATACGAAAGTGCCCAAAATTCAAGATAATAAAATGTGCCAACAACTAAAGATACGTGAGGGTACTTGATGTTAAAAAATAAATAAATAAATAATTAATAAATTAAAAAAAGGAAATGCATGCATAAATAAACTGTTTATTCAAATAAAGCCTTTTTTTATTACTCTGTGTTGTGATATCAGATCATATTTATGGTTGTAATGTGATAAAAAGGTCAGCAGACACAACACAAATTTTACATATATTTAATACTCTCCTTGGTCACACCAAAACCAAACCTTGGTGCACATAAAACCCTTTGCTCTTTAAAACACCTAAAAATAACTGGTGAAACTCATTAGCAGGAAGCGCACATACAGAGAATGGAAAAACAAGTGGTTTCAAGAAGCGTGTGAAAAGCTTTTCGAGTCTGTAAGCATGCTTCCTTTATTAAAGCTAAGTCCACATAATTTAGAGTACAATAAGTCTGGCAGTAGAGAGTATGACAATGATAATGTTGATTGAAACGTACATTAAAAGTAGTTTGTTGTTTAGAGTTTTCTTACTATGTCGGTATTAATGTATCATCAGCATACATCCATCACCATGGATGTATGCTGAATTGAATATTCAATGTATATTATGCAATGTATATTATTCATATTAAATAAAATTTCTGATAAAATGAATGCTCTGATAATGTTTAAAAAATTCAATGTAATTAAAACAGTATTTTAAGAATGTTTGGTTTTGCAAGTAAGAGGATGATTTAGTTACTTTCATCTACATTTCACAATACAGTAATTTATGAGTAGACTACAAACTATGACCAGAAGCCCCTTTTTTTCCAGGACATGTCCTACTTTTCATACCTAAAAAAAAAATGTGCGGGAGCAATTTCTAAATTGTTCGGGATTTTGGTCGACTACAGTGCAGCAGAACAGAGCCGTCAGCACCGTGGTGAAGTTGCTTTGAAGTTGGATATTGGATATTCAAGCTCCGGGGAGTCAGCGGGATCTAGCAAACGGTTGATCTGACTGAGGCACTCCGATGTAAGCCAGCGTCTCTCAGCAGCTCCCTCTTCCCACACAAGGTGGTTGTCATGATGGGTCTTATTTTTTATTTTTTTTTGCCCACACTCACAGAGAGAGGATCAGAGTTTAACTGTTTTTTTTTTTTCAGATAGAAAAACACGGTGACAGAAAACTGGTATCTCAGCTTGGGGGGTTCCAGCGACCAGGAAACCTGCAGCGACTGCACAGAGGAGAGAGTGATTTGGTGAGTTCAAGGTCGGTGGGATAAAAGGCTGATGACTGAAACTCAGATGTAGCTTGGACTCACAGTTTGAGTTGGAGGACAGGCTGGGGTTCCTGTTTGTGGAGGCCTTGGCTGGTAGGTAGTGGAGGTGTCGTCGGAGGGCGGACAGGCAGACTTATGGAGGAAACAGTGCAGACTGTCAACTGGGTTTCTGGAAGAGGTAGGCGTTCAGATAAGGTGAGCAGTGAGACTCTCAAGAGAGGAATCCTTCCAGGGCTTGGAGGACCAGATTAAGCTCAGAGGATCAGTTGATTTCCTGCAAAGATCCACGACAAAACAATTTAAGAGCATATAGTCACTCAAAATAAACTCAGGGGGCCTAGAGTACCCAAAACTGGCAAACACTCTGGCGACGAGGTGGTGATAGTCAGCTGCTCAAATACTCCTCAGAGGTGATGACCAATTTGCTGCAGGTGTGGGTAATTGAGACGAGGAAGGAAGCCCTCCAGGTCAGAAGTGAACCAATGGTACCGTCTGGTGGATGAATGGTGAAACTGAAAAAGAACACAAAACTACCCACACAAACTGGAACCACAACAGTGGTGCAGTTAGGGACCATCAACAAATCTTTGAACCAAGCAGTCTTGAGAAACAAAAATCAATAAATTCCTTATCTTATGACCAGCTTAGATGAAACTATTATAAAATCATGCCAATAAATAATATATGTAAGGCACACTTGCCTTTATGCAATTTTAAGCTATTTTCAATTTTTAGAAAAAAGTTGGGACTTTTCTTCAATAGCTTCCAGATCATGTGACCTATGGACTCAAATTCTTTGTGAAATAGTTTTACTGCATTAGCGTGTTGAGGCACACTCATTTTTATTCCATTTAAAGCCTTTGTATGTTTTTTAACATTTCTTATCACAAAAATAATTTATATTTCTTCAATTGCTTCCAGGTCATGTGACCCACTGACTCCAAATCTGTGTCAAATTGTTCTACTACTTTAGGCTGATGGG